TACTTAAAGCTTCAGAGTGTTGAGAAATCGCTTTTAACTGACCACTCATTCTTGTTCGGAAAAACTATATAAATATATTTTAGGTTGATGAGAATCTAAGGAATCTGTGATAAAATACAAGAATAATTCTCCGAATCGGCTACCAAATGGTGTTGTTTAAGTTGTGCAGATTTTAAGGCAAACTGTTCTTATGTATTTTAAGTAATAACACATTCCATTTTCTTTACACTAAGTTTTGTTAACCCTTTTAATATGTTTCATAATTCTGTTATAATTATTACATCTAAAGATTATTTTGCATCGTTAACCTTCCAATGTCTAAAGTTGTGGGATAGTGTTAGAATTATGTCTGAAAATATTGTTAACAGTAGAAATATCCATCTCATCATTCAGAGTAATCTAATCAATGTAGAATTTATTGTTTTGGTGTATTAACTCATAAGATTGAGTATTTTAGTCAGTTTGCTGTACTAAATTGTCTTTGTTAGTTTAACTTTTTTAAAAGGTATTTCAGTTGTCATTTGTATAGTTAGCCTATTTTTGGTCTGAAGCTTTTAATAATAATAAGAAAAAATACTGACATGATATTGGCATAGCTCTTCGTATCTGTCTCTTTCACAACCAATGTCGTGACGTTTGATTCATCTTGAAAATCGACCAGCAGGCAAGAAGAAATACTAAACAACAGCACACAGTCAACTGATATACCGAGCCTCAATTAATAGACAAACAGGGTCGTTTGTTAGTATTATTTTGGTCCCTGAATCGCAGTCTACGATTCAGGCATAGCCATCATACATTTAGAAATGTACACCTGAAAGAAGGCAACTGCCCACCAGCACCCGTTCCCTACGCGCCTACTCTTAACCGAATGGTAGAAATGACTGTCAGAGCTATAACGCCTCAACAAATGAAAGTGCGGAGCGTGTTAAGAAGGATATCTGGAGTCGAACCTTGGACCTTGTGATCCGCAACACAGCGTAGTAGCCACTTAGCCATGTACGCACGGCCTCACTCATTTGTAACTTATATATTCAATCAATCTGTGTGAAGTAGCTATTTCGATATTTAACACTGACCACCAGGGAAGCAGAATTATCAGCAACAGTGTATATCTATCGTGTGTAAAGTTTTGGTTTAACATCCAGTCTTGGCCAGAAAGGAAGAAAGAATATCAACAATAATGTACAATAAACCAGTGGCTAAACAACTGACCTGACCCAACAGAGCAGCAAAATATCAACAATAATGTACAATAAACCAGTGCTTAAAGAACTAATCTTAGCAAACAGAGCAGCAAAATATCAACTGTAACATATGGCCTTGGGCCATAGAAACCCAAAACAAACTAAATAAACCAGAACTATATCTTGAACTTAAATATTGCAAAATTTTCGTGAGCCATTACGCAATATTTAAGAATAAACAAGTGAAACATCGTTAAAACATATTTTTAAATGCCTGTCTACCTAGATAATTTGTCAAAAATGGTTGGATATAACGTTTAGATGGACATGCGCAAATATTAACCAGGTTTGGTGAAAATTGACGCAAGCACATCAAAAGGATTTCGCGCCGTTTTACTAAGTATTTTAAAGCATTTTAGTTTTGAAGAAGCTTTCAGCAGACACGACGCTACGGTTATTTGCAAAGTGATTTTAATTTAAATTGCAATATCATCGGTGTAATAGCAAGATGATTCTTTTGGGAATTTTACTCAATAAACCGTTTAAGAGAATACTAAAAAAATCACTTTTTAAAAATATAGCACATCGTTTTTCAACAATTTGAGTTATATCTGGCTCTCTAGCTGGTGATACATACATATGTTTGATTTCCTAATTTTTATTGGTAGCTGTGAAATATTACCACAAAACAAACACGGCTGATAACAATGCATAAATCCATGAATTATTTTTTTCTCAACGTTTTACGAAAAATTTAAATATTTTTCAGAAACTGTGTATATTTCAATTTTTTTATATAATTTATATTAGATATTAAAAGAATATATAAAAGTGGTTATTTTTATGATTGGATCTTCGAAATTTCTTACGTTAGTAATAGCGAAGAGACGTAGTTTGTCTCAATCATACAAACTCTGAAATTAAAAACACAATAAAACACTACTGCACCAAATTAACAACCATAACATAAGCTTAGTTCATTTAAGAAATACTACTTTGTATTTATTAATAACTAGAAATAAATCTACCAGAAATAAAAAATATTTACAACTTTAGATAAAAGAATAACTTCATAATATTTTGGAGCATCATGTACACTATGTTTTGATGTTGTGTGTTGAATTTTGCGCAAAGGTACTCGAGGACTATCCACACTAACACTCCATAATTGGTCTGGCATGGTTTAATGGTTATGACACTCGTCTCATAATCTATAACTTGCGGGATCAAATCCTGTCACCGAACATTGTCGCCCTTATCATTCCCACTATTCGTTGGTAAAAGAGTAGCCCAAGAGTTGACGGTGGGTGTTATCGACTAGCTGTTTTCTCTCTAGTCTATTACTTCAAAATCACGGACGGATATGCCCAGATAGCTTTTTACGTAGCTTTGTGCAAAAACTAAAACAAACAATTTTGCAAAATTACACAATATCAAGATCCGTAAATCCTTTCGTAGTTTTGGGATTTTCCACGGAATGTAGAAGTAGAGAAAGTGTGTTTGTTGTCTTACAGCAAAGCCACAACTGGCTATCTGCTGTGTCAACCGATGGAAATCGAACCCCTGATATTAGCGTTGTAAATCCAAAGACGTACCTATGTCCCACCGGGGGACAGGTGGAGGTAGAGAATTCCTCAAACTTATGCTAATATGTTAGCTATTTCTAATAACAATGCTCGAATAGAGGTTTATAAATACTTTTTTTTTACTTTAATTTTAACAGTTGGATTGCAGAGTTGTTTAAAGTAAATCTAGTTAAAATATTAATCAATCATGCTTATAAAAACAACTAGCAGGTATGAACATTTTCTTAAAGAATTAAGTAATGTTAAAATGTTTTTAAATAAAAATGGTTCCAAAATAGTATGATAAATAATACCATGCATAATTATTTGGATAAGGTATGTAGTGTCAAACAGTTAAAACTTAGTATTCCAAAATATACAAGTGTAACATTACCGTACACAAACAAACCTATACTAAAAATATTATGGAAAATTTTCATAGAACTTATCCACAGGTTAAGACTAGTTTCACAGGTTGATTTAAGATTAGTTTTTAAACATGCAAACAGAATATACTTTTATGGGTATAGAGAAAGAGTTTAATATGCAAAAAATCTAAACATTTTTATGATATATGAATTTAAACGTCCTATTTAATTATATGTATGCAGGTTCAATAACCCTGTAGATGGTTAGAAACACGCATAATGGTACATACAAATTTAGTGACGAATAATAAAGTGCATGGGATCACGTGCTTGTCGAATATGATATTGTCATACATCTCAGTATGTTTAAGCTTCTTACCATCGGACGTGACAATAAGTGTTTTCGTATATAAAAGAACCATTGTTGTTTAATAGATTAAAATCAGAGCTGAACGAGATACGTCCGGAAACAAAATTATTACTAACGACAGTTCTTTGGTAGATCAGTGATAAGTTTGCCGATTTCCAACGCTTAAATCTGGGGTTCGATTCCATGCGGTTGACTGAGCGCAGGCAGCTTTGCACTAGGAAAAATAACAACAACTACTACTAGTACTAATAATGATAAGAATTATATTTGAATAAGCAAAAGACAGAAATTTCTCAATAAGAAATAAACAAATGACGTCCACTACGCAAGGAAACTTGGCTCTATTTGATTATGTAAACCGGGGTTGATTCTTTCAGTCCTAGAACAGAGTCTAAAAAACTCCTTAAAATATTTCCACGTTTACATAATATGCAAGCACTCTGTCATCTTGCAAAAAAAAAGGTCAGTTGTTTAAACTGTGTTTTGTTTATCAGTTAAGCTGTATTACTTCAAAACTTGTGTCCAGTCTTTTGTATTAAGTCAGTCAGGTCAGAGTTCAAATTGACTCTTCAAAACATTTTCTGCATAACCTTTAGATAAAGTGGATGTTGCTCTTACCTATAGAAAATCCGTGCATCTGAGAATACTATATCTGTTATTCTCAACGTTCTAGCTACAATAGTGAGCTCGTGTTTAAAACAAAGAAAATGGGGCATGTGTTCCTTAGTAAACATTTTACTTATTTATTGATTTACTCTTTAGGCTATGGTTAGGTTTTGCGTGTACGCCGGGAGATCAAGACCATCTAAACATATAAGTCGTGTTGTCATTTTAAAATTGTTTTGTTGGCTGATTTAAGGAAGCTTTAAAAGCTACAAAAAAGATGTATATTGTACATTTACGAACCTGAGCACCATATAATACCTTACAGTGGATAGACATATAGCCGTGTCCCATTAGATTAGAGCACGAATATGATTGAATGGTTATCAAATTTTCAAAGGAGGTGAGTAACCCGAATATCATGAGCTAAAGATGTTAATTTCAATGTAGCAATTTCGAGAAAACGTTGACAAAATGGACGTAACTACGTCCCCCCCCCCCAGTGACACAGCGGTATGTCTGCGGACTTACAACGCTAGAAACTGGGTTTCGATACCCGTAGTGAGCAGAGCACAGATAGCCCATTGGGTAGCTTTGTGCTTAACTTAAAAAAAGAAACAAAAACGGACATGACTGCAGTTTTGTTTTTCAGAGAGCAAATTAACTAGCCTACTTTTACTAGATTGACTATAGATAAAACATATTCGTGGACAAGTCTTCTATCCTAAAACAAGTAATATTTTCTTTACGAATGAACAAGTATAAACATAAGCATTTGATAACCAAACGTCACTCAAAAAATAACAGAAGAATACGATATTCTTACCAGGAGGCGAAACGTTTGTCTAAAAGAAGAATTGTATAGGTGATTTTTTTTAGGCTACTTCAAAACCATTGTGAAACTCACTTGTTTATCACGAAACGGTGCTGTGGTGCTTCACCGTTGCGGTACTTTTCTTGGGATGTCGATTTGGATCTCTAAGATGCGGAAAACAAACAACAATTAAAATAAGTCAACTAAAGTTAAACTAAATAATGCATACGGTATAAACTCAAAGAAAGCTAATTTCTGTCTCTACGGAAACTATTTTGACTACGTAATCGTACAGGGGATTTTTAACTAATTGGATTTATATTTCTTGTTCTTACGCTTTTCAGTAAACAATGACTGAACAAGTCTTCGCTAAACTCAGATCAGTGCACTAACTATTGTATTTTATCACACTATTATCAATGTGCTATAATTGTATGGTTTGATCACGTTTTGTGCTCAGATTTCTTTTTAAGTAATCTTACAAAGATAAGGATAAAGATAACTTATGCTGTCAACTTAACCATACAAAACATTAAGTTCGTTAGTTTCGCATATCAGATTTTTGTGTATAGGTACTCTTGGCTATCTTATGACACTATAAAGGTCAAAACACAGAGTTACGAAACTTTTACATCATAGAAGGTCGTTCTAACGGAAGCAATAACCGCGCAATTCTGAAATCAATGAATTCAAAAAGGTCAACAAGTAATATTAATTATCAAAGCATGTAATTCTACAAAGACACGTAATAAGTATTCTAGGTAAAACTTAGGTACAGAGTGCAATCATATCTTATCTTCCTTATGTTGCTGGTATAAAAATGGAGTAGTTAAGCATTTATCTTACATCATAAGAACCATATATACATATACATGAAACGCATAGAAGTTAGACATTATGGAGGTACACAGTGCTTTTATATTTTTTATTGTCTTTTTTATTATGCTAATTTCTTGGTTTCGTTGTAACTATCTAACTAAAATATATAACAGTTCTAATTACAGGCAATAATATACGAAGACTTACTAACCAAAATGTGGAAAACTATTGGTTTTATATCATACATTTTACCATGGTTGTCAGCACATCAGTATCGTTACAAGAAAAACAGTCTATGAGACTGGCACATCATTGCTACTCTGAAAATGAGATCAAATAATAATATTAAAAAAAATTCACTGATTTACTCCACCTCAGTTCCTCTCTGTAAACACACAACAATCTGATCTAGAAGACAGCTTCTGGATAACGTAAAAGGTTTTACATTCAATTACGACCAATACACTGACGTTGTGCAAACATACAGAGCATGCGCAGTTCCCTAGCGTTGGTTAATAAAGATTGTAATGCGTGAACACGAATAATGGAAAGAAACCGTGGTTGTATGCTAGAATCACTTGCTTCGCCATTTCCTGTAAAACCCAGTTATTATAGCTTAAAAAATAAGAAAAAGAGGTTCGCATAAGTATAGAGTATATTGCTATCTTTCATAAACTTGCAACGAATAAGATTTTTTCTTAGTGTCACTACAATGCCAAATTGTCAAATGTGTAAAATCCTGCAGTTCGTAATTAATATAACAAGCTAAAATAATTTACATCATTATTTTGTCAAAATTATTATTGATTACTAACTTGTAATTACCTTTTGAGGCATCGTTTTAATAAAGCAAAAGTAACTGCCAGACTCAACAAACGTAACAATTTTTCATATATTTTCTAAAACATAATTCATAAAAGAAGTATTTAAATTTTTAGACTAGCTATAAACCATAATTTATTAAATACTAAATTGTAGTTCACATTTATTCTTAAACCATTAGGATACCCATACAAGCCCAGAAAAACCTAGTAGTATATGATTCATCGTGATGATGTCGCTGCTGCTGGAGATCAGTAGGAGACGGCAAAAAGCTGCTACAAAGAGTTGTTGAAACACAAACAGTTTTCGTTTAAAAGCCCTACATTATTAAAATAACTTTAACTTAAAAACTTTCAAGAATTATGCGAATCACAGCGTGTATGAGAAGCTGTATAGAGACGATGATCATCAGAAAGCTTTACACGCCAGCTTCAGATCTCCATAAGCCGAGTGTGGCTCACTGATTAGAGTATCAAAGAATGAATCCGTGGGTTCACGTCCTCTTACCACAAACTCAAGCTCCGCCATAAGTTCTCTGTAAGAAGGAAGGGCAAATTCCACTATCTGATTAAAGTTGGCCAAGATTGGGCAGTGGATATTGTTAATTAGCTGCCTTCCCTCTAGTCTACCAGCTCAAAATTAAGACAGTCCGTAAAAGCTTTACGTGAATATCCGAAACAAATAAACAAAGAGCTTTCCATTGCTGTAGGATCAAATATGGGAGTAGAATGAAAGTAACTGAAATTGTATCTGGGATTCAAACAATTCAAAACAAATTAATATATACCAAAAAATTACACGAACTTTTAGAATGTCAAATTTAAATTCTTGGGAATCTCTACGTACAGATTATTGTTTTACAGGTTTTCGGACCACACTTAGCCCTATTACACCAGGACACAGGAGAGAAGGAAGTTAATTATTTTTAGGTTTTGGTTAAAAACTGCATAAAGATTACAAGTACGAACTGGGCAGTGGGGTTGCTTTTTATGCCATAATGGCAAATCTACATTCAATGTTAAAAAATATAGCTGTTATAATATAAAATATTTCTTTAGAAACTACAGCATCCGGTGATGTCTTTAAATTAATGGTTACAGATGAAAGTACATCATGGGTCTCGATAATAGTTTATTCAAATAGTTTAAGCGCTTATGATAAGCTACAGGTATGAATAATATATATTAAAAACTGAGTGATTAGATACTTAACAATTATGCTTTGCAGGTGGAAATTTTTACAAAATTTAATTTGCAATATGATTATTCCATTTTAATAACTCCTGAACTGAAAGATTAGAACATGATATTTGATATAAAAACTTTACAAGTTAAAACAACAAGTTTACTACTACTGCTACTGTTAAGTATATATAATCTTGATATTACACAGTGTCATAGAACATTAAAATCAGTCAGACGTAGTTTATACACAACAAGTTGCTATTTTACAGAACGTTACCTGACTAGTTTACAACAACAACACTGATAACTTACCTCTTTGCCAATGATAGTTTAAAAGGGTCTAATACAAACAACTGTGCAGTAAATCTGTTTACATAGAAAAACATATAGGTAAATTATTTATATGCGTATATAATGTAAACATAAATATTATTTGAGCAGTTAAGGTAATATTTACATCTTATAAGGACTGTTAAAAACAGCAAGACTATGATGAAATAGAACATACTTATAATTCAAAATAAGCCTTACAAAGGATAACGCTGAACAACCAAAATAAATGAAATAATCAGAGTACAGGTTATAATGTGTAAAATATAGTTTGTCCTGCCTTTGAAGATGGCTGCAGAAGTAGAACCCAAATAGCGGTGAGGATACACCGTCTATCAGTCTTAACCTCCGTTCGCCAAGTCTCACACATAAAGAATAAAATAGTAAAATAAGAAAAAATAAAATAAATTAGCGAAATTTGGATGCTTGAATCCACCAGTCCCACATCTACATCATCCTTCTCTGCCTGCAGACAGTTGTGGGAAGATGACTGCTCACAGAAGAAAGGAAATGAAAAAGAAATATGACCCTACCATTGGGGGTGGTGATTAAGAACGCCACCTGGTGAAATTAGCATTCCAGTCCCAATTATGGTTGTAAAAACTCAAATTAATTTGGTAATATTAGCAGTACCGCAAAGAAAAAAAAACTAAAATAAAATGCCTATCTATTTATCGAAACTAGTACAACACCCATCCTTCACCCGTAAAGTCTACTGTAGGTCCTAATTGCCAGATTGTCGTATGTCTTTTATATATAAACTAAATCGTGTTAATGATGCTAAAACATGTATATAAAGAGCAATAAGATATTTTTTATTGAAATGAACTTACTAAAAATATTTTTTTCTAGATTTTCAAGATTATCAACAATTTCAAGCAATATATATATATAATTGTTATTTCTTGATACTTGTGTTATATATTTTTATCTTTGTTACAAAATACTTTAATAAATTTATTTAATGTTTGTTTTTCTCAAATCTATTAAATATTAATTTGTCAACATTAGCAGTAAAATATTGTTACAAAGTCTACGGAATCTAAGTATTTGTGAATAAGATACTTATAAATCAAAAATGAATATAATTGTCATAAGAGCGATCAGAGTTTCTAAAAGTTTGCAACCTAATGAACAATATTCCAAATTAAATTTCCCTTAAATAATTGTTTTCCGTACCAGAATAGTAGAAAATATGATTTATAGTTTAAAAAGTTATTTCAATGCATTTTAGCTTTGTTACATTAAATGACGATATCTGAATTTTTATAATAATTTGTCTTATTCAATTTGACATGGAATTGTTTAATTTGGTTATTCGTAAGAATAGAGAAGTGTGAAAGCTAGTAGGAACCTGTTTATTGAAATGTGTGTTACATGGAACCTTACTGCCAGATTTGAATGTTTTTATTTACTTGTGGCAAGTTTACGTAATTAAGAAGTGTTGATTTTACAAGTTTATTTACCCCCAAATTAGTTTCACTGAAAAAATATTATAAGACATTTATTGCTAAAGAAATTTGATTGACCATTGTCTCCCATGAGTTTCTTGATTGACTTATGACAGTCACGAGTAAAATATCAGAAGCCTAGCTAACATCAAGGGAGGATCCTATAACAGTGGCACTATAGGGTTCATCAGGCACCATAAGAGTCTGTTGTTTACTGAAGTTTCCACGATAGGGCTGTGCTATAGTCCAAATATGAAATTCCTATACATAGATAAATACGAACGGAAGAAGCGAGATATACTTTATTCTTATATGCACATTATGATGATTTCAGTTATAAATGGTTCTATAGCTCCAACAATGTGTGCTTCAACTTTAGACATTTTTTGCTAAGACTTAAATGATTGAAAATCTGTAAATCTTCCTTTATTTTAAGATAATTTGAACTTAAATGAGAACTGCTACAAAATCAAAAGTTCATATATTATATGCAATTGGGCTTATTGAAACTATGTTTACTACTTTGTGATTAACCATAACTAATAAGACTGGAGAACCTATTGGTCTAATACCATTATATACAACATCACTGATAATCTAACATTTATCTAGTTTTGGTAAGTATATTCGCAATTTTGCTTCCGTTATTGTTGCTACTGGATCGAATCTGAACATAGTAAATATAAATTAATATAGTCTCAACTCATAATAATATTCATTTTAAATATAACTATACAACTGCCTTTATCTAGTTTCATTGTTCCTCCTGCGTGTCCCACAGTGGTTCAGCAGGAAATCTGAAGGATTATAATGTTAAAACCGATTTTGATACCCATGGTGGGCACACCACAGATAGCCCATTGTGTATCCTTGCGCTTAACAACTAACAATCTCCTGTTCAATGTTCCGACTTCCTTTAAAGTCAATCTGGAAGATTTTGCTCAAGATAATTTATAAAATAACAAGCATGTGTTAAAACAGAAGTTATTTTGAGCTTTAACAAATTTATTAACCATATAAATAACAAACAACCGATCACGCCTACGATTCAATCTTATGATGTGCGAAAGAAAAGTCTACTTTTCTATATACGAATTTTCGCTTATTAAATATGAAGAAAAATTTATGAAATTATCTTGAAACTAGGATTGTTGTGTTTTTGAGCTCACAGTAACATTCAGAACTTCAGATTCAAGGACATTATTACAGCTCCGAAACATTTGAGAGCAATAAATACACTCACTCGACGTGTACACTAACAAGGATGCATAGCCTTAACCACCAGATGTCTCTCCTAATAAATCAATGAATAGTCGAATATAAAATCAAACTCTACATCGAACTTGTTAAAACACCTTACAAAGTTATGATCAATCAGTGCGTAGCAGCAACCAAGCGGGAACTTTTAATCAATGAGCAAGAACTTGTTTTGAACAGGGAAGTTTATGTCATTACTACTAAAATGTTAATTCTGTAAAACATTCTCAATGAATTATGTAAACAAAACAATTAATTGCATTATCAAGAAATATAATGTGTGTTTATTTATAT